AAAAAATCATCTTGAGTAAGGCAACCCAGACCCAGAAGGATAAACTCATTCATAAGTGGATATTAGCTGTAAAGTAAAGGATAATTATGCTACAATCCACAGCCCCAGAGAAGCTAAGTAAGAAGGAAGGCTCTAGGAGAGACACTTGAATCTCTTTGGGAAGGGGAAATGGAATAGATTTTGGTGTTGGAGTGGGGGTGGGGAAGGGAACAGGAGGGATCAGGCGGGGGAGCGAGGGGCAGAGAAAGAGAGTTCAGGGAGAGATGACTGGAATTGGGGGCTATTTGGGGAAACCTGGTACAGTGGAAACTCCTTGGAATCTATGAGGGTGACCCTAGTAAGGACTCCGAGTAATGGAGGGTACGGAGTCAGATCTGGCATCATCTGTAACCAGGCAAGACTTCCAACAGTGGACTGAAACACCAACCCAGCCACAAAACCTTTGACCTACAGATGACCTTTCTGTGTGAAAGATGTGCTGGTGAAATAGTGGCTCAGCTTGTGGGAGTGGCCAACCTATGACTGGTCTAACTTGAAGCCCATGTCACAAGAGGAAGCCCATGCCCAACACTGCCTGGATGGCCAGGAATCTGAGGCTGAATATCCCAGAGACCTACAGTAGAACCAAACAGGACTGGCAAAACAAAACAAAACAAAAAAACAACCAAAAAACCAAAAACCAAAAACCAAACAAAAGTCAAATGTTTCCTCATGATATAATGCTATATTCACAGATCAGTGCCTAGCCCACTCACCATCAGAAAGACTTTATCCAGCAACTGATGGGAGCAGATGCAGAGACCCAGAGCCAAACATTAAATGCAGAAGAGGGAGAGCAAGAATTGTAGGATCCAGAGGGACAGAGGAAACCAAGAGAACACGGCTCACAGAATCAATTAAGCAGAGCGCACAGGGGCTTACAGAAACGAAAGCAGCAATCATGGAGTCTGCACTAGGTCCTCTGCATATATGTTGCGGTTGTTTAGTTTAGGGTTTTTGTGGGACTCCCAACACTGGGAGTGGGGAAGTATCTTGGCTCTGTCCAGCCTTGATATGGCAGTTTATGCCTGGTCTTATTGCAACTTGTTATGTGTATTTGGTTGGTTGTCCTGGGAAACCTGTTCTTTTCTGAAGGGAAATGGATAGAGGAGCAGTGGATACAGGGGAGAGGGCAGTGGGTGGGTTGGGGACGGGAAGCAGTGGAGGGAGGGGAACAGCGGTCAGGATATATTATGTGAGAGGAGAGCCAGGCGGTGATGCTGCACACCTTCAATCCTAGCACCAGGGAGGCAGTGGCAGGAAGATCTCTTGAGTTCAAGGCCAGCCTGGTCTACACAGTGAGTTCTAGAATAGCTGGGGCTACACAGATAAACCCTATCTTGAAAAACCAAAATGGGAGAAAGGGGGTGGGAGGAGGGAGAGGAAGAGAGGGAGAGACAGAGGAATAAATATAAAAGAAAAAAGAATTTTAGATTTTCATAAAAATAGAAAATAATGATGGTAAAGAAAATTATCTATACCCATGAGAATCATTTTTGGTAATTTTGATCCTTATCATATATGAAATTTCTTTCTATAAAATCAGATTTGAATATTCTGCAACCTTTTTCCAACTCAACATAATAATTTACTATAGTTACACTAAATTCACTTATATATAAACCTCTATCTTTTATAAATGTCTCTTCCATTAATTATGAATTAAGATATCATGAAAGCAAAAACCTACACCTATCATTATAATTCATGTTCCACTGCATCACAACAACTTTATTTCTGAATACTACTATTGAAATATCAAAACAACTCTGAGATAGCATCTTACACATGTCACACAACAATGACAGTTTATGCTGGAGAGGATGTGGAGAAAGAGGAACACTTCTCCACTGCTGGTGGGAGTGCCAACTCATACAGCCACTTTGGAAATCAGTATGGCAGTTCCTCAGGAAAATGAAAATCAACCTACCACAAGAACCAGCAATTCCACTCTTAAGCATATACCCAAAAGATGCACATTCATACAACAAGGACATCTGTTCAACGATGTTCATAGCAGCACTATTTGTAATAGCCAGAAACTAGAAGCAGCCTAGATGCCTCTCAACTGAATAATGGATGCAGAAAATGTGGTACATTTGCACAGTGGAGTACTACTCAGTGGAAAAAAACAATGGAAATTCGCAGGTAAAAGAATGGCACTAGAAGAAAACATCCTGAATGAGGTAACCCAGTCACAAAAAGACAAACATGGTATGTACTCATTCATGTATGGATTTTAGACATAAAGCAAAGGATTACCAGCCTACAATCCACACTGCCAGAGAAGCTAGGAAACAAGGAGGACTAAGAGAGACATACATGGTCCCCCCAAAAAGGGGAAAAGGACAAGATCTTCTGAGCAAATTGGGAGCCTGGGGACATGGGGGAAGAAGACGGAGTTAAGAGAAAGAGAAGAGAAGAGGAGGAGGGGGAGGAGGACATGAGGGAGCAGGAAGATTGAGTGGAGGAGGAAGAAAGAACAGAGGAGAGCAAGGAAAGAGATGCCTTAATAGAGGGAGCCATTATAGGTTTAAAGAGAAATCTAGCACTAGGGAAATGTCCAGAGATCCACAAGGATGACCTCAACTAAGAATCTCAGCAATAGTGTAGAGGCTACCTTAAATGCCCTTCCCCTATAATAAGATTGATGACTACCTTATATGCCATCCTAGAGCCTTCATCCAGTAGCTGATGGAAACAGAAGCAGACACCTACAGCTAAACACTGAGCTGAATTCCTGGAATCCAGTTGCAGAGAGGGAGGAGTGATGAGCAAAGGGGTCAAGATAAGGCTGGAGAAACCCACAGAAACAGCTGACCTGAACAAGGGGGCTGCTCATGGGCCCCAGACTGATAGCATGGGACTGATCCAGACCCCCTGAATTTGGTGTCAGTTGGGAGGCCTAAGTCTATGGGCCCTCTGGTAGTGGGTTAGTATTTATCCCTACTGTACAAATGGACTTTGGGAGCCCACTCCCCTTGGAGGGCTACTCTCTCAGCCTAGACAGAAGGGGGAAGGCCTAGGCACTGGCACAAATGATGTGACAAACTTTGATGATCCCCCATGGAATGCCTCACCCTCTCTGGGGAGCAGAAAGTGGATGGGATGGCAGACTAGCGGGAAGCATGGGAGGGTGGAAGGGAGAGGAAACTGGGATTGATATGTAAGATTGTTTCTAATTTAAATAAAAAAATTGTAAAAAAAGAAACAAAAACAGTTAAGAAACAGAAACTTTAACTCCAGAAACTCAGTTCTTTTGGCCATTGTAAGAAGTACAAAAGTTCAGAAAATTCTGAGAATTAATGAGAAAAATCAAATGATTACATGATATGCATACAAGCCAAAGAAAGATCCCTGTTGGAATCAAGTTAACACTAAACACCGAGGAATCAGATTCATTTCGGGAGGAAAACATTTATTGTGTTTTAATTTATTTAAGAATTATCTATTGTTTCCTACTTCATGCAAGCAGTGCTAGGCACTTTAATTCTTTGTTGAAATAAAGCAGACATAGTTCTAGCCTTAATCTAACAGAGAAACACAATAAAAGAGAAAACAAATAATTACAGCATGTGATAAGACTTGTGTGAAATAATAAGGGGAAGTAGTTTCACACAGATGGGAAGAATAAATTTTGAAATCTACTATAACACAATGATAGAACAGAATACATGCTTAGCATACATGAGGCCCTGGGTTCATTTGCCAGCACAAAAACTAGCCTTGTTAATTGACTTGATTCAATAACTCTATAAGGTGTATGTGCCAAAACATCAGATTGTATGCCACCAACACACACAGTTACAGTGTGGAACGTTAACTATTAGGACCAAGTAGCAGGTCCTTAAGGAAGATAAGGGAAGAGATGGGAACTCAAATCTCCCTCTGGTCTCCTGTTTTCTGTTTAATACTATGATCCTTGCAGTTGTGCATTCTTTACTATTTGTCATGGGGCCCTTGCCAGAACTTGTTTGGATGTTCAGCCTCTGATACTATGAGCTAAGTAAACTTATATATGCATTTAACCTGCCTGAAGTGTTTTTATATAGTAAGACACCAAAAGGGATGAACACAGTCACTAAATGGTTTAAACATATGATATAATTTTTTAAAAAAAGTCATTTTGCCTCCTGTGTACAAAGCAGAAATGTGAAATGATCAGAATGGAGGAAAAATCAGTAAAGAACTATGATAACAACTGGGATGAAAAGTGAAATGCTATGGTTTAGAGGGTAGGAACAAAACCTGGGATGAACAGAATCAGGTAAAAGTAACAGGATCCCTTGATTGTTTGCATGTATGAGCAAGGATAAAGGGGTATGAAGGGTCAAGAATGTCTGCCACATTTATGCTTGAGCTGCTAGTAGGTCAAAACAACGTTCATTGAGACAAGGGATGCAAGAGAATGTCTGAAGCCAATGGAAGGCAGTAGGCAAGTGTGTGAAGGACTGTGAGGCATTTAGGAAGATGAAGAGAAATGGAAATGTGATTCCATCAAGTACAGTTCCACTCTACAAGAAGAGACTGGCCTAATGCAGGGGAGGAAGAGGGAACAGGAAGAGGACATTGGTAGGTACAGACCGTTGTGTTTTGTTTTCTATAAACATCAGAGACATGACAGTATAGCAATAGAGAGATGAGTAGTCAGTGGTAGGGTTGTTAGTTGCTACATTTTCCTTTTGTTCTGTGTTTCAGGCGGAGTTACCAAAGCTTTTGTGTTGTCAATAGCAACCCGGGAGAGGGAAAGACTCAAAGAGAATGGAGACATGAGGTTACCCCGGTAGGTGGTAACAGGACTTAAACATCAACACATTCATTTACATGTCAGTAAACATATAAACATGTTAAAGACTCAACATACAGGTTTTCTAGATGGATTTTTAATGTTCGCAGCTATGGATTAAGTACTGCTGAGGCCATTTAGCATACCAAGTTAAAGAAGAACAAAAATCACCTACCTCTCGTTTGTCTAATGCAGCATACTCGGCTTCTATCTCCTCAGCCTCCGGGTCCCGAGAGAACACCATCTGAGACTCCAGACTCAGGGCCAGGTCTTTGTGGTGCTGCTTCTCAGCACAGTCACAAGGAGTATCCTTATTTTCATTTTCAGCAAACAAGTCTCCTCCATGTTTTACTAAAAGCTAAAAAATAAATAAATAAATAAAACAACTCACAACTATAGATTTAATTAAAATTTCTTGCTACAGATTAAAGAAATTAAATGTATGACTAGCATAACAAAAATATACAGTAGATGCAATGTATATAAATGTAAAATTAAATTAAAATGTGATTTAAAATTTAAACCAAAATGTAGACACATTTGAAATAACAGAAGGCATCAGGTAGCAATGACGTTTTATTTTTAAAGTTGGGAATTTCTTGTTTTACTAATAATGAGTTCCTTTGGATAAAGAAAGTAAATCTTCAACTTTAAAAACAAATTCTCAAGTATTTTGTCAATTTCCCATGCTTAATAAAACTTTACTTAAATATAAAAAAAGATTATATTCAATGCTTAAACTTTAAAAATTTCTCATCATTTTTCTTCCTCTATTTCCTTGACAAGAGAATGCAATTTAGCCCAGGTTGACCTTGGAATCAGTCTTCCTAAGCCAGCTTCCAGAATGACAGGATTGTGTGTATGTGCGTCAACATCCCTGGCCTACACATCTTTCTTAAGAAGAACACAGTTGACACTGTCAATTTAACAACTAATACTTGGATGTCTTGACATGATAAATGTTTTCACTCGTCCCATTATTATTCTGTGAAACACTGAAATAAATTCACATTTGTAAGCCAAAGACAAAGGTGTTTTCAGTATTTCTCAAAATAAGAGGAAACTACTTACACAATTTGTCAAGAAATTTCATCCTCAGAAACATGAACAATGCCATGACTTGTTCAGTACTGAAGTTTCTGCTGGCTTTACTAGAGCTATATTTTTCCTAAGGGCTAAAAGTTTAAGAGTGTCCACTGTGTCTAGAGATATCAGAAAGAACATAGGACAGCCTCACAATTTGTCATGAAGACTCTCTTAGACAACTGTGACCCTCATAGCAATACAGTAAGTCACATAGTGTCTTCGAGTCAGACTCTGTATGCAATGTACTATAAAAACACACTCACCTTACTACTAATGACCTTGTGTGACCCAGGCATTATTGTCTTAGAAAATTTACAGAACGTGGCCCAAGTTCCCCAGCAAGCAGTGTGACTGGATTCAGACAGTTTGACTAATTTTCAACCATGCCTAGATCCTGAACTAAGTCAGTAACACTGCTCACATAAAATGAAGAAGTCAAATAAACAGAGCCTCATCTAGGATTTAATGTGAACATGTTCTAGAGGCTTTTACTTTGTAAAACAAAAACAAAAAACCCAAAACTTCTGTTTTGTAAAAGGGTAATCAAAGTTAAAATTTCATCTAAATAATTTTATACTCTTTATTACCCACCAAGGAATACAAACATATAAAGTTCTTTGGGACTGAAAGTTTTATTGTTCTCTTTGGTAAAGGAAATCTTCTAGAAGGATCTGCTAAAGTATGGTCTTTACTCACTGAGGGTGTGTAGAGGGAAAGATAAGTCACTGTTGAGAGGCATGCTTATCTTGTGTGAACCTGGGTGAGACAAACAGGTAGTTCTCTTTGCAAGATGAGTTTGATTAGAGTGGTGAGGGAACCACTGTTACAGCTGGCATCTGCAGAGACCCTCACAATCAGTGGCCATGTTTGCAGCATGATGACAACCTGCTTGTATGCTACCTTTAGCAGGGAGAACAGCTGGAAGTACTGCAGAACACCGGAAGGCAATGCTAGAAGTACTTCAGCCTACTGGCCTTTGGGAAATAAGTTCAAGAAAATGACTGGCTGGTAAAAACATGCTGGGTGGAGATAGGATACTTTTTTTCTATACAAACTTGGTTGTTTTGCTTTACATGATGGAGAGTTTGGTTTAGAAAAGGTAGTTTAAAAAAAAAAGAAAATAAAAGGTAGTTTTAAAACTTAATGAAAACATGGCAAGTATCTTTCTATTTATTTTCATTAGCTAAGAAAGAAGAAACAAGAGGACTGGTTATTTTATTCCTGGGATTTTTAAATGTTTCTCAAACACTTGTTGGCACATAAAACAACCTCAACAAATCTATTCTTCTAATTCTACATTTTCGGCTCACAATCATAGATTAAAAGCAGTAACCCAAAATATTCAAGACATATTCCATACCTCCCTTATGATTCAGTGGTTGATAACTGGCCACATCGTTTAATTACTTTAAAGACTGAGTTTACAATAGTCTATCTGTAAAATAAGGTAGCTTGTATAAATTTGATAAAAGATGTAATAGAAAACCGATTAAAGAGGTGGAAACAGGATGATCAAGTTCAAGCTCAGCCTAGCTACATGAGAACTTCAAAAAACCAAAAGCTAAACCAAATTGTGCAGCTAGTTAACTTGACCCAAGGAAGTGTCATCTGAAAGGAGACATCCTCAATGGAAAAAAATGCCTCCGTAGGGTCCAGATGTAAAGCGTTTTGTTAATTAGTGATTCATGTGGGAAGGGCCAAGTGGGTGGGTGAAGATATCAAAATTAAGGAATATTATTTATGGTTTATCTGTAATGCACGCCATGTAAGCATTTCTAATTTTTTATTAAACAATTTATTTTATATGTACCTCTGTTTTGCCTGCAGGTATAAGTACCACATGTATGCAGTGCCAGAAGAAGCCAGAAGAAGTTGTTGGATCTTGTGGAACTGGAATAACAAAAAATTGTTGGCTGCTTTGTGTTTGCTGAGACTAGAAGTTTGGTCATCTGGAAGAACAGCCAGTGTGAGCTTAACTGCTGAGCAATCTGTGAGCAGCACCCCACCTCCCCTTTTAGTTTATATTTAAACATTTCATTCTTCATGCTGTGTATGTGGACATGCATGCAGATGATATGCTGTGTGATGGGGGATTTCCTTCTGTATATATGTTTCTCTTATTGGTTGATGAATAAAACACTGTTGGCCAATAAGACAGGAAGATAGGTGGGACAAGGAGTTGAGGAGAATTCTGGGAAGTGTAGGCAGAAGAGAGTTGCCATTTAGATTACAAAGGAGTAGCAGGTCCGGACCCTTCTCCAGTAAAATAAGACCATGTGGAAATACATAGATTAGTAGTTATGGGTTAATAATGAAGACAGAGCTAGGCAATAAAAAGCCCTAGCCACAGGCCAACGCTTTTATAACTAATATAGTGTACATGTGTTTATTTGGGGCTGAAGCAGTTGTGGTTCCAGGCTGCCGGGGCAGAAACATTCATCAACAGGTGTGTATATGTGTGATCAGATGACTATTTGCAAGAGTGGCTTCTCTTCTTTCCCCATGTGTGTCCTGGAGATGAAACTCAGGCTGGGTGGCAAGAGCCTTTTCTCACTGAGAGATCTCACTGGCCCCAAATTAACTATTTAAATTAGCAATTTTAAACAATTAAATCTATTCTTTGTACAGCTATTATCTCACAAATAATTTCAGGTAATTACTATTTATAAAATTCCAGGTTTTCCTGTTTAAAGAAGTTTGGAAAAGCACAAAGGTGAAGCATTAAAGCACTTGGTATTAGAGAGTGACCAAAACAGATAAAAAGATGACCAGGCCTGGGGTACATACATACCTGTAATCCACAAATTCTGGAGATGGAAGCAGGAGAAACCAAGTTCAAGGTCATCCTTAGCTACATAGTGAGTCAAGCCTGGGCTACATGAAACCATGTCTCAAACAGTAACAACAACAACACAGGAAGGAGCTGCCTAGAAGAGACAATGAAGAGTCCTCTTCTGCTAATGAGTGGAATTAATCTTATGCAATTAGGAGAGAAGGGAAAGTAGGAGAGGTGATGAACAGGAAGGTACATATTTGGAGAGAATGGCAGCATCATTAGTAGAAACCAGATACTCAAGCCAGTAACTAGAGGTGTCTAAGCCCAGCTGCCTTCAGAAATATTGAATTTGAGATTGCTACAATATACTTATAAGGAAGTCAACATAGAAGCCACAGAGTGTGAGAAACTTCAAAGGAGTCAGGCAAGATACCAGAGAGAGACACAGATGCAATTCTGCACAAAGTCTTTAAACCTTGATACCTAAAGGCTCTAAAAACAATATAATTAAGGGGTTTTAATTTTCATGCTATGAATAAGTTTGAGTATATGTGTATGTGTAAGCACTTGTAGAACACAGCATAGGAAGGAATATTGATATAAACAACCATTTCTATGGTTGAGTAGCCATAGCTGGGTATGGTGACACTCACTTTAACACCAGCACTAAGGTAGCAGGTGGATCTATGACTTTGAAGCCAGCATGGTCTACACAGTGAGTTTCAGGACAGTCAGAGTTACATTAATACTCTTGTCTCAAAAGTAAGTAAACAAACAAACATAAAACAGGTACCTCAAGGAAACATCCAATTATTAAATGCACAGAGGAAATTGTTGAATAGTAATTTTCTAAATTCTTTTTTATTTATATGTATTTTGCCTGCATGTATGCATATGCACCATGTGAGTGCAGCAAAGTTCAGAAGTGGGTGCTGGATACCTCGGAACTGAACGTAGGTCCTTGGTTCATAACCATTGAGCCATTTCTCCAGCCCCAGATACCTCTCTAAATTCTACTCTTAAATAAACACACTGCTGTGATTTGAATGTGAAATATATCTTCCAAAGGCTCATGTGTTGGAACCCTTGGTTCCCAATAGTACTGTCCTGGAAAGGCTAAGAAACCTTTAGGGAGTGGAGTTTCACTGTAGAAAATGGGTCTCTGGAGTAGACTGCAAGGATTTCTAATTTTATGTGTTTTGTTGTTGCTCTGTTTTAAGGGAAAGCAGCAGATTAAGAAAGCACTAGGAAGAATCAGGGGAGTGAACTAATGAGCTTTGAAATTTTATAGCCTGGTTCTACTTCCTGTCTGCTTTCTGCTTCCTATTCATTCGAGGGATGAGAAGTCCCAGATGTACCCTCTCTTCCCAGTAAGAACCACTCATCCTACCATGCTTTTCTGGTTATAGTTTACTATAACCTTAAACTGTGAGTCAAAATACTTCCTTTCTAAGAAAAGAACTAAAACTAACAACTATAAAAGAAATGCTTCCATAAATATGAAACCCTAAAAGTTAAAAAATAGGTTGGACTTACTTGGGGGAAAAATAATCTCAGATTATGCAAAGCACTTATCTCTATTATTCTTATAATAAAAACTGTACACAATAAAGTAGAGAAGTGTAAAAGTATTTAAATTACCCATGATATTAAAATTTATAAGATTCTAGAAACTTTAGCTACATAGTGGGCTACATATAACAATGTGTTAGTTTTAAGCACTTATGCTAGGAAAACACATAAGGCCTCTGTAGAGAAGTTAATATATGCTTCCCAGGGAAATATTTTTAGTTGAATAATAAGCATGACAAAAAGTTAGGAAAGCTAAGCAAGAGTCAGGTAAGACACTGGAGATAAAAGTGAGCAAACTATTACACTGAATCTTGTTAATAAATGTTGCAATACATAAGAGGCATTCACAAGGTTCCATTAGGAATGCTTTACAGTAAATCAACAAGCTCTTCTCAATATAGAAAAATAGAACTATCACCAACCAGAGTGGCTCATGTGATGTGATATGCTGATAGATTAAGCAGTGCAAAGAGAAACATGTATGTGGTAGAATACTATTTTAAGGTGTGACTTTTGTTTATGCTGCATTTGTTTAACCCTGTGAAACTGTGATACTGTGCCTGTCTAAAATACCTGGTGGTACTAATAAAGAGCTGAATGGCCAATAGTGAGGCAGGGGTAAGGATAGGCGGGGCTGGCAGGCAGAAAGTATAAATAGGAGAAACGAGGAGAGATAGCACAACAAGAGAACAAGGAGAAGCGGACATCAGGGGCCAGCCACAGGGTAAGAAGGAAAGTAAGGTATGCAGAAGAAATAAAAGACAAAAGCCCAGAGGGAAAAGGTAGACAGATTAATTTAAGACAAGCTGGCTAAAAACAAGCCAAGCTAAGGCCCAGCATTCATAAGTAAGAATGCCATGTGTGATTTATTTGGGAGCTGGGTGTGGGCCCCTCAAAAAGCCAAAAGAACAAAAAACATCATACTACACATATATATCAAGGTAGTCATTGGACCTTCCAAATACTACATAACATACCCTCTGTAACCAGCATCAAAAAAATAATGGTAAAATCACCACTCCATTTTTGAACAACTTAATATGTACAACACTGTAAACACATGAAAAATTGACCACCACTTACCATTGCTTACTGACAATTACTGAAAGCAAGTCACTAAAGCAGAAATTAAAAAGTATTATTGCCACTAACAAGAATAATCTATTTCTACCTTAACACATTTAAAGAACCACAGAGGCCCACACATGTGAATCAACACAGCAGGATCTTCCCTAGGATCTGAGCACACAACAATATTTAGGAAAGCTTATGTACAAAGCGTCAGGATTTTGTTGATATGCTTCCCCTCCAAGTCCTAGGGCATCTTTTTACTATGTTGAGTCAATGTTAAAAAGCATTGCATGGAAAACAGATTCAAGTTAATGATCACAATTCACTAACTAGTGGGCAAAGGTGATACAGAGGAAACAAAAGGACAAAGTATCTAAAAGACTAAGAAGTAACAAATAGCAGTAAATAGAAAACAAGATCAGAAAAGTTCAAGAAATAACAAAAATTGATCAACTATGCTAATGAAATTAGGTGACTATAACTTTTAAAAAACATTCATAATTTTGATATCAACTTAAAAGCATTATACTAAAAGAAACATTAAATATTAAATCTTTGATAAATTTTTAATTTTATTAGGATCATTACTTTTAAAATAAAGTGCATAAATTTTAGATTAAAAAGACTGATCAGTGTATAATGCATCCTGCTCATACTTAAATATATCTATACAAAAGAAATCAATTATGTATGAATTAATACAAATGTTGGTAGTTGAGAAAATATGTACTGTTGTATGAACAGTAGTAATAATACTATATACAATTACTATAGGCAAGTGGCCAAGCCCTGCCCCTAGGCCCCACCTCCAGACTGCTCTGACTGCCAGGCCCAGGCCTGGAGGCATGCAAGTGGCCAAGCCCCATCCAGACTACTCCAAAGGGCATTAAAAAAGTTTATAATGAGGCTTCATAATTCCACCAATCCCTGAGCTTGCCCCAAGATCAGGTCACTGAATCCCACCAATCCCTGAGCTTGCCCTAAGATCAGGCCACTGAATCCTACCAATCCCTCAGCTTGCTCTAGAATCCCACCAATCTCAGGCCTCCCTGGAAAGCTCTGCCTCCCAAGAAACCCGATCTCTGCTGCTTCTCTCCTGAGCAGAGGCAGCCAGCCACCCTCGTGTCTTTCCAATCAATCTCTTGTGTGAGGTTTGTTGTGCAGTGTGACTCTGTGGTACTCCTTGGCTTCTTACTGCCAGGGTACCTTTCCCCTCAGAGTTGTGACACAGTTACAATGTCTTTTAAAAAATTAAGGGTTAAAAGGGTGATTTTTATCTAAGCTTGTAAGATGCTTTCTATATTAGCAATATATGACATTTATAAATCAAAATCCCAAATGTAGTATGTATTCAGGAATACTTTAGCACAGATTCAATAGAAACAAGACATTTTAAAGACAAGGTTTTAAAATGGAGTGTAACAAATGCATCCATTAACAGTTATTTATTTAATAAACAATTCAAGTAAAGATAATGTATTGATAGACTGTATAAGTCATTTCCCCTCACATCCAAGATAGGTAAGTGTTATAAACTGGCTATTATAAAAATTCAGAAAACAAAACAAAACAAACCCAAACTCTATTATTTTCAGCATGGTAGTAGGCAGTTGACAGTTACCTTAGGAAATAGTAACATTATTGGTCTTGATTACATTATACTCCAAAAGGTTGGCAAGCTGAATGAGTTTTGTTGTTGTCCCCTAACACAATGAAATAATTTTGCTTACAAAGGGCTTTGGGTCTTTCAGAATGAACAAAGGGGTAAAAACTGCTAAGACAAAGCAGACACTGCCTACCACATACTATCAACACACACGTTTTTGAGCACACAATATTGAGAAGAAAACAGGTTTACCTCTACACAGGCTTTCATCCCTGAGGCTGCCGCATAGTGAAGGGGTGTGTTTTTTTTATTATCAACAGCGTCAATAGCTGCTCTCTCATATTCACCCTGGTCAAGTTTTGCTCCTTTCCATCTTAAGATCATCTGCAGACAATCTGCCCTTCTGAAATCATCTTCTACAGGGCGTGCCAAGCGAGGATGAAGGGTTCCTTCAGATATCATGATTTGAGGTCCCATACACAACAAATGCATAGATGTTTCATTGTGCACGTTCCGTTTATTTGGGTTTCCATCTCTACCAAAAAGAAAAGTCCTAAAATGGAAAGGAGGGGTAAAAACAACTTTTTCCTACCTAAAAATACAGAGAAGATAACAATTTTAAAGGTAAGGTCTACTTCAAAGCTAAAGATCCAATTTCTTTTGAAGTATCTGCATGACTAATTCATTCAATGAAGAAGACTGGGAGCCACTACCTCTGCACAGCTATTACAGGCACCTGTTGCCATACCAAGGACCTGAACCCAGGTCCTCATGCGTGCATACCAAGCATTTTACCCACTGGGCCATCTCCCCAGTCTAGTTTGGTTTTGAATGCATGGACTTACTATGTAGCCCCGGCTAGCTTAGAACTGGAGGGAATCCTCCTGCCTCAGCTTTCCAAATGCTGCAGTGACAGCACATAGCAGATACACATCCTCAGAAGTTTTAAATACTGAGGCCCTGGTGGCTTCAATGAGAATGTCCCCATAGGCCCAGGTATGTGAACACTTGGCCCCTGTTTGGGGAGGTTTTGGGTCCTTTAGAACGCAGAACCTTGCTGGGAGAAGGACTGAGGCTTTGCAGCCTGACCCTACTTCCAGTTCTCCGTGCTTTCTGGGGGTGGTTGAAGACGTGAGCTCCCAGCTTCCTGCTCTGGATGCCAGATGCCTTTCTGGACTCTTGGAGGAGGAAAAGACTGGGAGCCAGCAAATGGCTTAAAAGGTAAAGTATTTGTCACACAATCTGAGTTCAGGCACGAACTCATGTTAGGACAGAGCTGACTCTTCAAAGTTGTCTTCTGACCGCCACCATGAGCCGTGGTACATGTATGAATGCACTTATGTGCATGAATCATATACATACATGAGAAAAATAATCTTTAGGGCCTATAAAGTATATACGAATAAAAAGAATGGGGGAAAGGAAGAGAATACAAAAAAATATAGAAGAAAAAAAGGAAGGAGTAGAGAATGTTCCAATGCAAAAGGGTACTTTAAAAAAGTTAATAGAAATAAAAAATCAAAAATAAAGGCAAAGCTCTGAAATGACATTATGAGTTAAGGAACTTCCAAAAATGCCATTGAGTTCATCCTTTTCTTGGCCATCTACTGCTGGATATGCAGCCTGCTCTGAAGAGTAGTTTGTTTCCCTGGTGAGACTCACTTGGAAGAAACCAAATTCCCATTTGCAAGTGGTTACCATTAGAGATTGCTTCTGGATTAGGGATGGGGACTTTTGTCCACTCCTCCTTTAGCTTCTAGAACCCCGAGATGATTTTTTCAAAGGACTCAATCCGTCTTAACTTGTTTTGTTTTGAGTACAGTATATGAACAAAATCTAGATTTATAGTTTAGAAAATGGAAAAGTAATTTTAAATTGCCTTTTCAAATAACAATATTCATATTTGATACTAGACCCAAAATCTAACAAGTGGTAGATTATTAAAGAATACAAAAACTGTATGAGTTTTTTGTAGTGTTAATTAAAAATCTTATGGTCTAAGCTACATTTTAAAATTCTGAGTCAATGCAGAACTTTAAAGAATCTTAGACTAATGTGAAATATTATTCATTGAGTTACAGAGACCCTCTAATTGTTATCATTTTTATTTTATAATAAATTGCATTGGTTTTTATCACTAACAATTTTATTAGAAGGTAAGAACTCAGAAGCTGTCAAGTTGAATATAAAGAATGAGTATTTCAAAATTTTAGCATTTACTTGAAAGATCAAAATTTATCATAAGCATCAGACTAGCAGTTGTTTTACTTGAAAGATTTAATTAGTTTTTTGAGAAAATGTCAGCCTAGGGCCTCAGCTCTCATTCACCATTGAAGAACAGTGCTGTACTGCAGTGGGCATGAATTCATGAAGAAACTGTAACTGGCCAAAATGCTGAAAATAAGTGACAATAGAAAGTTTAAACTTAATTGCCATATGAACGACCCTCTCTAAGACTCAGGGAACATTGCAGAAGAAGGGGTGGAAAGAATATAAGAGCCAGAAGAAGGGAGATGTGCAGCACAAGATGTTTTCTGGACATGACAGCAACTCCTGTACTCCTTAACTCGCTAAAGCTGGGGTAAGCTGCACAGGACTCATCTAAGGCTGGGTCATTAAGCACTTTATCATGTGTAGGGGAGAGCCCATGAGGCCCCTCCCTCCCACAAGGTTTGCTGGCAGTTAATCATCCAAAAGTATATTGCAAAGCTGTACACACTCTTAAGGGGTGAGTGTGAACAATGATCAAAGAGGTCTCTTTGTCTAGTCATAATTTAGGCAACTCTTATATTATTTCTTAAGTCTCTATAATAGACAGCTTTTCCCAAAAGGTTTTTTTTTTTTTTTTCCTTGACTAGATGATTGACAGATCCATTTGGATTGATTCTTAGGTGAGGAAACACTAATGTGTCAATTTTTTTTTCTTTTTAAACAGAAAGCCTCCAGCTAGCTGACAATTTTATGTTCAGACAATTACCTATTAATGACCTTCCAGGAAGTTCAGAATTTCATACCTATAACCAAGAGCTAAGAAAAGACTCAGACCTCAATTCTAGTAATCAAGAGTTCTGAAGCTTCAGGTCTGATAAAGAGGAAGTGCTCATTCATTGTGTACTGTTGACAGTCTTCATTTTCACTTCTAAAGCTAAATGTCTTTCAATTTTTACTAATCGCCTTAACCATTTCACCCTTTGCAATGGTCCCTTTGGCTATTGTCCACTCTTACCCCTCAGAAATCTATCTATTTTCTACATTACACTTTAGATGGAAATCCATTCACAGTCATAACAAATTATTTGGTACTCTGAAATTTAGAAAACTTAACACAGAATAATAGTATCATATAACATGGACATATGTCAGCATACATTTTCAAATATCTTCCTTTCCACTGATTACTTATAATGGGCTTAAAGTAATACTTACCCTAATATTCTATTCATTCCATGTCTAGCAGCATAGTGTAATGGAGTGTTGTGCTGATAGGGCTCTCCATAGGATGTATTTGGATCAAGGGATTCTTTTAGCTGAGGATTATTTTCATATATTTGGCACGCCAGGTTTTCATCACCATTGATGAGTGCTTTGCGGAATTTGGTGGTTGTATTTCCCATGTTTTGTTTTGTTTTGATAGGCAGGGGCACTCTCTTCCTTCAGCCACTTCTTCAATACTTCTACAACATGTTTCACATTCTAACGAAGGAGAAGTTATCAAATTAGATTGAAACAGTAATTACAAAGCAGTATCCTAAAGAGACAATTACAAATACTAATAACATCTGAGAAGCAGATGAAGGGAATAAACAATATTACATGTTGCCAAGTTTGACACATTTTTAACACTGGTCAAATTAACTTCTTGTTAAAATTTAACATGTTCCCATACAAAGACAAAACTGCACTTTATTTTAAAAAGTTGTCTACATACATAAATTTGCCTCTTCACATGAGCAGGAACCAGTTGCACTGAGTTTTATCGCTAAATACACTTATATTTCACGAGGGCTAACCTTGGTTGTCCACCTGATGACATGAAGAATCAACTAAAATCCAAGCAGCTGGAGAATTTTCTTGACTGAATCATGTGAGGAAAGCAGACCCACCCTAACATAAAAGCACATGGAAGAAGGAAGCTTTTGCTTTTGCCTTCTCATCTTCCCTCTTGCCTGCAAGTCCATCTTTCTGCTGTTGAGGCATTCATCTGCTGGCATTAGAACCTACTTCTTCAGAATTCTATGGAAGACCTCCAGCTCTCCAGGAATACTCTACAACTCTAGTACCAGACTGGAACTACTGAGACATCTAGGCTCACTGAATAACTAATGGGTTCTTGACCTTCTGGTCAAAAGATAAACTACTGTTAGGCTACTGGGATTACAGCCTGTATGGCACTCTAGTAACCTCCCCCCACCACCACCACAAGCACGAACTCATGCACACATACACACACACACATACTATTCTGTCAACTCAGTTCCTTTAGAAAACCCCAACTAAAACAGCCCCATTAATTATATGTAGGTGTTACTCAGTCAATTTGTGGGTTACTAAAAAGAACAAAAAGTTTTAGCCAATTAAGAACTACAGTTCAGGGGCTGGAGAGATGGCTCAGTGGATAAGAACACTAGCTGGTCTTCCAGAGGTCCTGAGTTCAATTCCCAGCAGCCACATGGTGACTCACAACCATTTGCAATGAAATCTGTAATGCCCTCCTCTGGCCTGCAGGGATATATGCAGACAGAACACTGTATACATAGTAAATAAATAAATCTTAAACAAAACAAAACCAAAAAACTACATTTCAGGAAAAGTGAAACAAAGTACTTACCAGAAAAAGACTTAAATTATAAATACATATATAAGTATACAACTTACTGATACTCAGATAATCACAGCAAACTAATAAAACTGGACAGAAGAAATGGAGATAATGATTATCCTACCTTTTAAAGTCATTACATTTTCCTCTATAAAGAATCCAAAGCAATGCTGAAAACAGTAAATGTTTATGCACACTACATGTGGGAAGGAGTCATGATGATTATCATATGGGCAAAACAATGAAAAAGAGATCTGAAATGTGAAATGTCATATTTGCTTACACTACTTTTAAGCAACTTATTTACCCCCTGACAATGTCAGTTTCCATATGTACAATAAGGAAAATGACTATTTCTCAGACACAGGTATAAAGATCATAAGAGAAAGTTACTTAAAGTATCTATCACAGACCTTGTTTAAAGGGTTCAATGCCAGAACATTCTATTCTAAGTACTCTTTCTGTAGCTTCTGTTCAGTTACTGTTGCTGTGATGTGATTGTCCCTCCCCCAAAAGACCCATTTGCTAGGTCATTAGACGGTGAAACTATTAGGAATGAATTATGACATTGAGAAACATTGAGACCCTATTCCCTTCTTCACTCTCCTTTGGCTTCCCTGTGACCCTGAGTTAAACAGAATTCCACTACTATACGCTCCCATCACAATGGACTGTGCCACCACAGGCCCTGATGCTTTGGGCCCTGAAACCTCTGAAACTGATCAGAAGTAAGCCCTTCCTCCCTTTTCTCAGGCATTTTATCACAGTAGCAGAGTTATGACCAACATTAGCGACAAAGGAGATAGCATGAACAAAAGCAGGTATAAAAAAAGGATCCCTGGGCTGGAGAGATGGCTCAGAGGTTAAGAGCACAGACTGTTCTTCCAGAGGTCCTGAGTTCAATTCCCAGCAACCACATGGTGGCTCACAACCATCCATAATGAGATCTGGTGCCCTCTTCTGGTATGCAGGTATACATGGAAGCAGAATGTTGCATACATAATAAACAAACAAATAAATAAATAATCTAAAAAAAATTATAAAACATTAAAAAAAAGGATCCTATGGAAGAGCTGGTAAGTATGCATCACATTTAGACTCTAGCACTGAATAACAGGTGATAAAACTGAAAACAGGTTGGGACAGAGAAGGAACTTACAGTTTAATCTAAACAGACTGATAATTCAAAGCTTCTATACAGGGAAGGGATATATTATTTATGACTTAGGGAATGCGTAATACTACAGAAGGCAGAAATTTAAATACAAAGGATGTGTACCTCACCCCTTTTGTTCATTGACAGGCTGGATACACAAGCATAGCTTTCAAAATCACTTGAAAAATAGTATTCATCCTGTACAATGAATTTTTTACAAGGCAGTAACAACTTAAATAGTGATTCTCAAATGTGGCTATACATCCTAGAAGCCTAGAGAAACCTCAAAGAATCCTATTGGATAGATTAAATTCCAGAGTGTCCAGGGGCTTTACCTAAGCACTGGTGTTTAAAGATCCTCCAGTAATTTCAATATGCAGACATCACTGTTTTAAAGCTCCTTCCAACTGACTGACTATCGGGGTAAGACATCACCAAGCCTATTTTAGAGACAGGAACTATGTGCTGACTATGGAAGTACATCTTCTGGTGCACCATTATCCTCAATAAGGCCACAAATTAGTTGTTTACTAATGTAGGTCAGCTGGTAGCATGTTTTTCAATCTTGTACTAGTCACAGGTTTGATTCCCAACCCCAAAAGCCCTTGGGAGGTGAAGACTGGAGACTGTGGAGTTCAAGGTCATACTAGGCTGCATAGTAAGGTAGAAACCAGCCTGTGGAGCATGAGACTCTTACTTTAAAAACAGAACCACAGCCGGGCGTTGGTGGTGCACACCTTTAATCCCAGCACTTGGGAGACAGAGGCAGGCAGATCTCTGTGAGTTTGAGGCCAGCCTGGTCTCCAGAGCAAGTGGCAGGATAGGCTCCAAAGCTACACAGAGAAACCCTGTCTCGAAAAACAAACAAACAAACAAACAAAGAACCACAAAGAAAATCCAGTCTAGTTACCTGAATATTATCACTGTTAAATAACTACTTTATGTATGTCTATATATATTTGTATGTATATAAATATTAATTCATTAATTTGATCATACTACTTACAAAAATAGTTGCTGAAATTTCAGCCTCACATATAATTCTTTTTTTTCCAACTTTTTTTATTTGAATAGAAACAAGATTGTTTTACATGAAAATCCCAGTTCCCTTCTCTCACCCGTCCTCCCCTACCTCCCCAACTAAAACCTTATCTGTCACATATCTTTTCTGCTCCCCCTGGATGGTGAGGCCTTCCATAGGGTGTCATCAGAGTCTATCGTATCCTTTGGGATAGGGCCTAGGCCCACCCGCGTGAGTCTTGGCTCAGGGAGTATTCCTCTATATGGAATGGGCTCCCAAAGTCCACACCTATGCTAGGGATAAATTCTGGGCTTCTACAGGAGGTCCCATAGATTTCTGAGGTTTCCTTGCAGAAACCCATGTTCTTGGGGTCTGGATCAGTCCCATGCTGGTATCCCAGCTATCAGTCTGGGGAGCAAGAGCTCCTGAATCACATACAATTCTTTATGTTCTCATCTCAAGTCGAAGAAGCAAATCCTCTCTCCCACATCCTATACTTGTCACATTCTTCTGAGATTTTTCAGGGACAGTCCAGATTTTATTTTACTCTTGTTTAACAGTGCAGAGTAGCATATTCATTCTCAGTAAAAGAATTTGGTTTGTTGTATATGGCTCTAAGCATTTGACAGTTTATTGTTTTTGTTACTGTGCTCTGAGATAGCATCCCACTAAGAAACCTATGCTGGTCTTGAATTAGTGATTGTGCTGACTTGGTTCCATCTCCAGGGCGCTGAAAGTAAAAGTGTGTGTCACTATGCCTGGCTTACATTATTCTTAATAAGACCTCCATTCAGCTTACTGTACATTTTTATCTCTACAAGTGTAAAATACATCATGTAGATTGTGAAGTATCTCTCTTAAGAATATGAAAACTTTCAGTTGTTGTGTTCCTAGCTCCCTGATACAATGCTGCTTAATTATAAACATTTTCAGAATTGCATATTAGGTTAACAATATATTTCTTTGATTTATATAAAAACATTACTTTAGCAAATGTTCTACAAGAACAATAATTTACATTAAGAATATATATGTATATCCATGTGTATCTATGTGGTATCCTGGGAAATACACATACACACACACCCTAACAAAGCAATGGTATCATACTTTAAATAGTTACAAGGTAACTTTTTTTTTTTAAAAAAAATCAATACTACTCTAAATGTACATTAAATATTACTGTTACTCATGCTGAAAAGTATAATGGCATCAAAAAGCTTTTCTGTGGCTTTGTTATTTTCAGGACTGTTTCATTTTTAAAATCTGATCAATAAGCCTGAAAGCCTGCAGAAGTATGTCATTTAAAAGCATTTAGTTCATGCCATTCAGAGTATCCTCAGAAGTCTTGATGAGAACTTTGCCAGCTGGGCCCTGGTTCTTTTTTATAGGCAAAGCTGCTATTACCTATAGCAACCATTTGTTCTTTATTTGAATCAAAACCTTTAAGTAAGATTTTTCTATGTGACATGTAATATTACATAAAAGTATAAACTGGATTTATAGTACATTTCTTTTGATGGTGCTATTATAAATTATACTTTAAAGGAAATCAAATGCTCAGGGGCTAGGGAAATGGCTCAGTTGGTAGCATGCCTACTGAGCAGGGATTCCTAGAATACATGTAAAAGGCTGTGCATACATGCAACCCAAGCATGCTGGGGGGCCGAGCAGACTCCTGACGTACACTGGATAGC